AGAGTAGCAGCCTGGATTCTCCTGACATTCAACCATTCCGGGCTTCCTCTTCGGGCCCGGAAGAGAGGACGAGGTTTGTTAGTCGTCTTGCTAGTGGTGCTGATGTGGCGAATCAGGTGGATATTCCTTTATCAAGATCGACGAGCGATGGATATGATGCGTCTGGTGGTGAGGATAGTGACCGAGTTCCTACGAGAGCAATGCACAAGTCGAGTAATTTTTTTAGCTCTGAGCCATAGGAAGCTTTGAATGCACGAAAAAAGTTGGGATCTTTGAGATTTTCTTTACTCGTTTGTTGGTCACCGTTCAGCTATAGCTACGCTAGATCTAATCTGCCGATTTCTGCAAGTTAAGTGCAATTTGTGGTTCTGGATTATCGACAAGAGTGGTGAAGGTGCTGAAAAAGATGTAAATTTCGAGTCGCTGGTGAAACTTTTGTGCCTGATGAAGGAGGAGAAAGTAAAAGCTGTTTTTGAGGTTAGGGAAACTTTTTGTGATTTGCAACAACTTACTTCTCTTCCTGTAAATTTTATGACCATTCATGCAAAGCTGTGGCATGTAAATACTTGTTTGTTCTTTGTCAACCAACAACTCTTGTTCTTGCCTTGGATTTTTTCTATTTTTTACCCAGTAATTTTTTTATGAAAAAGATGACATAGCATTTCTCTTAGCAGTAAATAGCTTTTTTAGTTAACAGGGAAATGCTACGGTCCCATTACGAAATCATTTTATCAGGATTTGTATCTATTAGATCAACATGTAACCGTCGGGGATAGTTGATTTAGCGATTACAAACCGGAATGGTTCCGTAAGGAGACCGTAGCATGTCCCTAGTTAACATTGTTTGGTTTTACTAAAAGTATGGTTAAATAGTAGGCTAAGTAAATCAGGTCGAAGAACTCAAATCTACCAAAGACAAAACAAGACACACAATTCACTTTCATAGGCACTTTTGATGACACATGAAAACCTACAGAACCAGCAATAAGCTTTCAAGTATGTGATGCACAACATAAACTTCAAAAGGAATCAACCCAAAATAATTATTCCAGATTACAACAAGAAAAAAGAACAAAAATTCCAAGCTCGAGATTACGCGATCAAACTTTAGGCAACGACAAATACTCCCCACCCGTCTCCTCGTCAATCATAACTTTCAACTCTTGAGATGTCTTGCAGTAAGCAAACAATACCGTGTTTGCCACCAAACCGTAAAGCGATAACACGGTTGAAATAACAACATAAACAACCATCTGCACGAAAACCCAACCTTCACAAGCTACACCTTTACTCGCCACCAAATTCGAGTACCATACCGTGAGAACCCCACCAATAGATGCAAACAACACCGTCATAGAAAGGGCTAGCCATCTCGCCCCTTTTACCAAATGCGAGCTCCTTCTCAACGGCTCAAACCCCCACTTTGACTCCAAAACCACAACCGCGCTCGAAAGGCACCACTCGACCTGCATGTAGACCAACACGAAACCGAGAACAATGGTAGCCACCACAACAAACACGAGAAAGTAGGGGTTGTCATAGTCAATCTCGAGCCCTATCAAGGGGAGCCCAATATAGGCCACGAGCACGACAACACCAAACACGAAAACAACTGACCTTTAAAATTATTTGTGTGACAAAGTTGGTCGCGAGGAGAGGGAAAAAAGAGACCACAATGGATTCTAGAGAAAGAAGAAAGGAAATGGGTTTACGGTAAAACGCGGCAAAAGTGGTGGTGGTGATTGAAGGAATGGCACAAAGGGTGAAAAGGAGTGAAGCAAGGATGTAGATGAGGAGATGGGGTCGGGTGTATGGGGTGGAGATAGTGGAAATGGAGTGGAGGTAGTAAAGTGTGGTGGAAAACGAGACGGGGAGGAGAAAGAGAGCTGAGAGGGCCAAGAAATGGCGTAGGTGGGCGGCGATCACGCGCCAGGTTTCGGAGAGAACTTGCCGGAGGCTTGGGCTGTGGGTTGACATGTTTTGAGAGAGAGAGAGAGATGATGATGATGATGATGATGATTTAAGTGAATGAATATTATATAAAATGATACTGCTGACTGGAAAATACTAGTCTAGCAATGAGGAAAGTTCAAAGCTTATAAAGGTCAATCTATATATATATAAAAAGATTTACCATTTTTTAAAAATGGCAAGTCAACTCTTAGGTCAAAACTTGTAGCTCTAATTACATTCTATTTTAAGTAACTTTTTTTATTATTATTATTTTTTAAAATCGGCAACAATAAATGCTGCAACAAATTGTGACTTTGTTACTTATTTTCTTTACGGAAATCAGGCAACCGCATGTGTTGG